AGAGAAAGAGAAAATGCACAAGCAACCAAAAGTTCTGTGACCGCAGTATTCTGCTGAGGACAACAAACCCAGGTTCAAGATCCTGCTTTGCCTCCTACCCTCCAACATGTTCTTGAGGTACTTTTCTTTCTCCCTAAGCAACTACATACATAGCCACCATTGAACCTCAATTGAACACCTGCAATAGTAAAGGAAAATTATGGTCTGCTGTGTAAGTGACAAGTGAATTTATTCAAATAACTGCATTGAATTTCAGTGATCCCAAAGAGCACCCAAATCCTAAGTTTAGAAGAACAGCAGTGAACCAAAAAATGACATTTGCTGTAGACAGTTACAGAACAGAGAAGAAATTACCCTTTCTATGTGAATTCTCTTCCAAAAATATAGTAGAAAAAATAAGCTGAAAATTACATACTCTGTCATCAGTAATAAAAACAGGATAAAATCATTGGTTATTTGTAGTTTAAGGAAGGTTCATTTTCTTTACTTAATATTTATTTGGGTGAATTAATTTGGGCTATGTTAACAGGAGCATAGCCAGTAGATTGAGGAGAAATTATTATCCCCCTTTACTCAGGCCTCATTAGGAACCGTCTAGAATACAGCATGCAAGTTTTCGGCCCTTTGGTAGAAGACAGAACAGAAAATCTTCAGCAGCAGCCACTGAGACCTCCTGAGGTCCCTTCCAGCTTGAAATAACCCCAAATCCTTTGATTAAAATACACAATCAGGGGTATAAAGCATATTAGCAGTAGGAAAGTATCAAGTGGATGTAGGAGTATAATATCTGAAATACAGTTTATGTCAGTAGAGAAATGTATTTGTGTGGCACCATGACAAGCATCTTGGTAGTCGCTCACTTCTCATAGCAGTAGTATGCTAATTTGGTGAAAGGCTGTACTATAGTTCCAGTGTCTCTGATTTCGGAGCCAGTGCACTTGTTGCCAGCTCATGCATGCCCACATGGCACAGAATGGTGCCGTGCAGACATACCCTAAACATATGCAGTTAGGTGTTGATGTAGTAATTGCAAGGCAACTCTGGAAAATTCAAAATGGGCAAAATAGGTCGGAAAAGGGAATATCTTGTAGTGACAGACACTACTAGGAATAGTATAGCCTAAGAAGTCATCTTGCTGGGAGCATCCTCAGGGCAAAGTGAAGAAGGGTTCCTTTGATTTAAGAATGTTTATTTTGATAACTCTATTCCCCTCTCTGCTTTCTTGTAAAAGAAAAAGACTTGAGGACTTGAAAGTATAAGAATCATCATCACTTTTAGTCAAGAAGGCAATTAATTGTACACTGAAAGTGTTTTCCTCGTTCTTGAAATCACGCTTACACACTATGTTTTACAACCAACAAATTCCAACTGCTCTTGCTCAGTACAGGACCATGAACCTTGTGTCACTAGGTGCTTGTGCTTCAGGCACTGTTAAAATTGAAGTAGTCATTCAGAGTGGCTACTAGCCTCAGAGCTGCAGGTTCATGGCTTTGCTGCTTTGCATTTGGCCCGAAGCTCAAGGTGTTTCACAAAAACTCACCCTCTGGGTGTTTGCCAGGGGAGTTAAAACCAACTCTGGCTGTGAAGCTGTAGGACCACCCCATGAAGTCAGAGTAGCCGTGCTCCAGCTGAGTCCCATTCCCCTTTCCCACCCTCCCTGATGGGGCGATCACTGCGCTGTTCCCCCATAGCCTCCTAGGAGCACTTCACGGTCACTCTGACCTGGAAAAGAGCCATGAAAGGCTTGGGGGCTGCCAGAATTGAGGATGTCATTCTTGTTCCAAGAGGCTTAAGGTCTCGGTCAACTTTTCTGTTGACGTGCTTTGAAAGGGGTTGGTTGTTACAGACAACGTTCCTTGATTTACAGACCTGCCTTTGCCTTGCAGAAATTTTCAAAATATTAAGTGCATTTTTTTTACTCTTGGTACGGGCACAGAGTGAGGGCAAACTACAGCCATAATTAGAGAATAGAGTATTTTTTCACATTTTTTGATAGGCAGCACTGTAGTAGCTGTCATTTTAATAAATTACTATTAAATAGTTTGGAACCAGCCTTTACATCTCCATGCAATTTTGAATTACTGGTTCTTGCTTAAACATCCAATTTTTGTGGCAGATTTCTTTTCCTGTGTTCTAATTTTCTCTCCCCTTTGTCAAAGCATTTCTTGGGATGTTCTCTAATCCAGCACAGGGGATTATCTTGCACCAAGCTACAATTCTGATGTGGGGCAGATCAGGAGTGGAAAACGAGTGACAAGGATTGAATGAAGAGATTTCACAGGGCAAAGCAGGGGCATAGACAAGGTCAGCCATGCTTCAAAATTATATCAGTAAAAGAAGATAAAGTGGATAAATAAAGGACTGTGTTTGAGTGGCACATGCAGGAGCAAGTCCGTTTCCCTAATGCAGGGTGCAGAGCATCTTAGAGTGCTAAGAGATTAAAAAAAAGAAAATTCACCTGGCCAGGCTCCTGACCTGTTCCTGATTAAAGGATTAACTTCCACTGCCCCTAAAACATATTACCATACTTTCCCCCAGACCCCATCCCAACATTAAAGCGTGCTTTGGCTTCCATCCCTTCTCCAGACAGGCCACCTAAATTTGACCTTACTCTGTGCTTTCTTTTGCTATGCAGGCTACACAAAGTTCATCAAAATTTTGTCATCTCCAGTGGTATTTCTTTAAGGGACTCAGCATCACATTTCCAGCTGACTGCTTGGAAGCTAACTCTAGGTTTTTACTTTCAGTCTGGGGTGGATCTGGACTGATTTAACCTCTCAGCTCTGTGAAGATCTTCCCAGGAAACTGCCTTGGCCCCCCAAATTACAAATATTTTTTAGATGTCCTGGTTCAGTGGCAGAGTTAAGTGGCTAAACTCAGCAAGCTACAGCCTATTTCTGAAGTCCTGTCCTGAGGAACATCTTCATGCTTCCTCCAATAAAAATACTTGCAGCATGTGTGGTTCTGCAAGGAAGGGCTCCTGCTGGGGCTGTGCCCTCCAAGTCCCCAACACCCTGCAGCAACGTGTGAGGCGATGGAGGTGCCGCTGTGCCTGCCCCACACAACAGTACCGAATGTCACTTTACAGCTAAAATAGTGAAACTGGATCAATTAATCTACCCATTGCACTACGTTTAGGATAATAATCAATAGTGTGAGTCCTCTGTGGTAAAACTCCATTCTTGTGGAGCTTTTTAGAGTTTCGGGATAACTTAATTATCTACATCCCATGGAAAAGCACTTCCAGCCAGCTAGAAATGGCCAAAAGGAGGTTGCTGGAAGAATTTGTCCCAGAGCTTTAGGGAGTACACTTGTCCCTGCCTATTTCATATCTTCCTGCTGCTTTTACTTCTTGTGTTTGGGATGCAGCTTCCTCTAGGAGAACTGGTGATCCCCTGTGAGTCTCTTAACACTCTAATTTCTGTAGAAAGAAACCATGTGTTGTAAACAGATCTCATTAACTGGCAACTTCCAGTGAAATTGGAAAATTGGCAATATTTCCAT